CTAATTTCATTGCGTTGTGGCTTGTTTCTGTTGTGTTGTGCACTACTGGGCCACTGTAGGGTTCCATTATCAATATGTCAGGCTTTACAGGGTGAATCAAATGGGTCACACAGAAAATGCATGAGCTAAGAGCCCAGCGGCAACATAAAACTGAACTACTGGATATGAAAGTGAAACTGGATATTTAATGAGAATAAATATAGTCTGTTTTATCAATATTCTGTTTGAATATATATATAATATATATATATATTCTCTCCTCATTTATTTCTATTCTCAATAGGTCCCAGTAAGGCCGAGGGCTTTGGCCAACACTTTTATTTGTGTGTACTCTCAATATCAACAAAACGTTGTGCTTTTGTAAAATAAGGAAAACAAACAGGATGCGCTTTCTGCCGTCTCGGTCTTGAGCAGGAGCGCTTCACAAAAATGAACCGAAACTCAGCGAATACTTGCCTCACAGACATGATAAATATATCTATAGAAAGCTTTAAATGACTACTTTAGACCGAAATAATCTTAATCAAATCGAAGACAAAAACTCTTTCATTATGTAATCTGTAAAGATGCATTTTTCTCTAAAGGTGCGTCCAATGAGATGGCGAGCCAGGATCGTCAACTTCATCTTTGCGACATTGAGTCAGAAAACACTAGTTTATTGATAAATAATTCAAATATCTCCTTACTATTTTTTTTTCATCTTTTTTTGTTTGTTTTGTTTGTTTTTTGGGCCACTGTGCCAAGATTGTGTTTGCATGCAGTACAAATAGTCTATGGCGGCATTTTTGCCACTTTGAAAAACAAATAACTACAATAAATAAGATTAACGTCATATAATATTCTAAGAATAAACTCAAAATTACGATAAACATTTTTTATATTGCGTGAAGTTAATGTGAAAATTACACCCATACTCTGCCAAAAAAAGTGTGTTGCATTCAACCTGTCAGTCTTCACATTTAACATGTAAAACAGCAATAAAACATAGGCTTATCGATGTTTTTTGAAACTCGATTTCATGAGACATTCGTTTGTATTAAATTGTTCAAATTTTTTTTAACATGCATTCAAATATTTATTCATGTTTATTTCGTGCTGCAAATATTAGAGGAAAATATCATTGATTCACATGCCGCTTGAACTGAGGCGAATATAGTTATCTCACTACAAATTAAAGAGTGTAAAAACACATTTATTGTTTGTATTTTATCATAAAATTGATGTCTTTGTTACAGTGTAATTATACATTTAAGTCCTGAGTAATATTTATTAACAATAACTACATGTACTTACTACATGGTTAGGGTTTGGCTTAGGGTTACTTGCATGTAATTATGCATATTTTTTTGTAATTATAATAGTAAGTTCATGTAACGTGTAACAAGGACACCTTAAAATAAAGTGTGGCCTAACCTTTCATTAAATACCTCAATAGTAAGGTTTTCAGTTGTATGTTTCAGTTGATTTTAGATGCTGAAAGCGTTCGTCTGCCGACGTTACCTGTGGGAGAAGCCAGAACGTCAGGTGACTCTCAGGGAATGTACAACACATATGAAGTGTGCGTTTGTCCCAGCGGTAAGCTCTTCATCTCCAGAGCTGGCGTCTCTTCGACCTGCAGCGAGCGCCAGGACTGCTGAATGACCTTCTGTCCTTAACGCCCACACTAGAAACAAATCGTGTTGTTACATTGTATTGGGCAAGGTTAAAAAACCCCATCACGATATGTATTAACATGTTACTGAAGATCAGAGGTGTACATTCATCTGTTTGGTTGGGGTTTTATCATGATAGGGAAGATGAAATATGCAGTATATACAACACACACCCATGGCAATTTGTAACTATTTATGTTTTGGTGAATTGGTGGTTATAAATTCAAACCTAATAAATTCTAATTTAATTCTTATGTTTCCATACAATCTGCCTACTCCCCACTGACGTTTAGGTTTAAGGGAGGACCCTTATGATTATTATTATTATTTTTGAAATATGTCTATGTATGAATCACATTGTATGAATTCATACAAAATCACCTTGTAAAATAGTTACATTTTCTAATGAGATCGGGTTGTGTAGACTGTACTTTATTTTTCTCCTTTTTTTGTATAACATTTTTTCAAAATTAGGCTGGGCAATAAAGGGGCTGGTAAACAGCTGACATCCTAAGCAATATAATTTTGAGGTGCAATAAATACCCAAATTCTGTGTGATGCATATCAGCTAGTTATTGTTTAAAGATGCGCTCATTCATAGAGAAATTATTACAAACAAAACACTTATGTGCTTCTCCGAGGGTTATGATATATACTTCTGAAATCAGTTTAATATCAACGTTTTTTTTTATTAAGTCATGCATAATAATAAATTTCTGTCTGAAGAACTGCACTACCCACAATCCTGAAGCAGTAGCTTTGAATTCTTCTGTTAAGCATTGCAATATAATCTAATCCAAATGTCTCTCATTTTTGTCAAATGGCTAAATCTATGTGTTAGTGCCAAAACAGCTGGGGTATTGAGAGTAACCACATTCTGTTCTGTATGTAAAACATCAACATAATTGATCTAGTAAAAAAACAAACAAAAAAAACTGTAAGATATAAAGTGCTCTTGGTTTGATATCAAATTAGGCATCTCCATTTATTTCATATAAATGTATATGAAATAATATAAGTATCAAAATGGTATAATTTACCTATGGCAGCTTGAAACTTTGGGATGTTTGTGTGTTTTATCAGAATTGTTTTGCATATGTTCTGTTTGAAAATGCTGAGTGATTATGTTTGTATATACATTGGTTGGGAATCTTCACATTTATTCATCAGTTGTATATTATATTTTGGTTGAGGTATATTTCTTCAATGGGAAATCTCATATTTTGAGGTTTACATATGTAAAGTAAATAATTACAATACTGACCTTTGAATGATATTATAGTTTAACTATAAAGCATGTATGAACAAGTGTAAATTGTTTTTTCCACATTAAGTGTTTTGGCATGAGTTGACATGATAATTAATAATAATAAAAAAATCATTAAACTTAAGGGAAAATTTTGTGCGCAATAAACGGTATATTTTGTACCATTATTACCTGATACTATATGACTGAACAGTGGATTCAGAGGAATTTTTAAGAATTAAAATTAAGAATAAAAATAAGAGCCACTGTCAGTGGGTCTCAAATTTACAGAGCTGTAATATGACATTATGAGATTGAAACAAATGACAAAATATATTTGTTCAAACAATACAGTAGCCAGTGTTTAATTTCAGTCTCTCGCAGTTAAACAAAGGAAACGGATGAAAAAACATCATTGACATTGAGCACCATATGAGTATCTATGTTCCTCTTACACAACTTTCAGAGAACTTCACGCAAAAAAATCTCAGCAGTAGAGGACAAGAGGTTCCCATTGTGAATAATAGAAAATGCATATTTAATCAATGCGTTTCTGAGGAATTACGCATGTTGTATGATGTGTACACGGCAATTAACTGACAGGTGAAATTTCAAGAGAAAATGTCACTTGTTATATTTTTAAGTGGTACATTTTTTAAATAGTAATATGTAATATGTGCTAAAACTACACCCACCAGTATCCTTGTATGGGAAATAAAAAGTGCTCTGTTAAGCCCCAAGCCAACAATGTATACATGTATAGTTCAGTTGCGATAAAGTTGATTTTGAAATATGAAATAAATTTCATTCTTGCAGCCAGACAGATACAGTAATTGCACTGGTAAACACTTATGAACCTGCTGTCATATTACATCTTCAAGATGTAATTTAAAGTCTTTCAAATATTTTTATTTTCACTGTTTAATGTTCAGGTTATGCACAGTATTACATATACAGTGACAGGAGCATGTCAATTACCTTGTGGATTTGCCAGCTGATAAAACGGTGTATGAACATTATAACCTGCCGTTTTTATTTCAGAATGAGCTACTGGCACATAATTGATATAGATCCCATTAAGAAACCATGAGCTGATTTGCCTGTCATTGCTGGATTGCACATGATTCATTCATTCAAATTTCTGCTATCACTCAATTACATAAAAGTGCAGTGCAACTCATGCTATTAAATCACTATACCGTCAACTTAATGACTATGGCAGGAAAAATACATTTCTAAAAAAGATTTTTAAAAAAGCAGCATTGGTATTCATTATGTACAAAGGAACAACAATAATCAATAAATGTATTTAAAATAATAAAAGGTATTGCTATATTTTTGAACATTATGTACACTGCTGCATGTTAAATAGCGTACACTTTTTCTTTAGACTCGGGCAACCTTTCAGAGAAATGGAGCAGATATGTACGCAATAATAAGCATTTGTCACAGCATCAGAGGTGGCACTGTTAAAATAAAATGCCAGCGAGATACATAATTTTGTAAAACGCTTTGTTAATTCAATTGTTAGAGTTTTGCATTGTCTAATGCCGACATTCAGATTTTTTGCTGGACAAATGTCTCAAGTTTGATGATTATCCGAGCTGTACATTCCATTACTCTCATTGCTACTTCTGAAGTATATCTATCGTTAGGAATCTGGGGGAAGGGTAAAAGGTCAGGGTAGCGAGTTCTCAGGCTGTCCACACCATAACCCTCGAGGATGTGTACATCCTTGGCCAACCCTGTTAGCTGGGTGTTGTACTCCTCTACCTTTTGTGCAAGTGCTGTGGGCTTCACATCTTTGTCTGATTTTCCTCTCACTGCATAATCTGCAGCGATTAATGCAAGCTTTGTTGCCAGGTAGCATTTCAAACATACCCATTCATTGGCATTTTTATGAAGATCATTTCTTGCAGCGGAAAAATTGGCTCTTGCTTGCCTTAGCCACCGGCGTGCCTCTACAGGGTTCCCAACGGACTTAAACGACGGTGGTACAAAGAAGCGATTTGAATGCGATGTGCCTGCATAGCTAGTAAATTGTTCTCGGAACTGCCGCTTTTCTGATTTATGGCTTGTTGCTTCTTGGTTCCATGATGTGTAAAATCGCTGAAATGAGAATTTCTCTGACTGGAATCGAGTGGAAGATGCAGAGAAAGGTCTCCTTGATCCTCTTTCAGTGGTCTGCTCTGCCTGTGTTTGCTTCTCCATCCTGCTGATCTCATTTTGTAGGTGCTTAAAGACTTCGGTAGCGATATTAAGATTCTCTGCATTTTTGTCAGGGTGCCACTTCAAGTATAAGCGGCGTATAATTTTCTTGCGTTCGGTTTCAGAAAGTTTCCAAGCTTGTTCTATGACCGACGTAACTTCTTTTAGAATTTCTGGTAATGCATTGAGTTTTATCTTTTTGGGGGATGCCTCGGTTGGAGGAGCCCTGTGATTTTCATTTCCAGGAAATATTGGAGGGACCATTCTGGCAGAAGGAGAACGACCCTCTGAGGGGCTTTTTGGAGTTGGTGTGCCATCTCGAATATGGGTGCTATCATCCTGTCTGGAAAATTTATATAGGTCAAGAGAACTCACAATTTTGTACTCACTGTACCCAATGTCAATTTGAAAGCACTTGCCGAGGACACTTGGACTTTCGTCTTCCTCCCGTTCTACTTCTTGAACGATGATAGCGTATGTGTAAGTTGGCTGGTAAGTGCCTAAAATATCACCTCCCTCTGAATCTACCAGGTAACCAACATATTCTCCAGGGTAAAAGACATTCATGGGGTCCATGAGCAGTAAATGATGAATCTCTGCAGGAATGGGTGTACCAGGAAGTGGAAGCTCTAGCTTTGAGGGCTCAGTTGTGTCATACTTGACACCAAGGTTGTCTAGCTTCTCTGTTATTCTGTAGATGTCATTGCAACCCAGCATAGCAATAAGATAGGAGGTGTCAGAAATCAGGTTGTCTGTCGCTGACTTAAGGGTCATTGCTAAAGCAAGAAGAAAATTAATGTCTTTGCTGTCAGAGTGCTGAATGTAGAGATGGATAACAGCAGTTCCATACCTTTTAAGAAAGGCAAGAGTTTCACTACGGCTATGGGGAATCGGACTGCAGCCTTTCACTCGCAATGTTGTCTGTAGTTTCTCAAAGCAAGACACCTTTAAGCCCTCACACAGTGCGTTGCATAACCGTATTGCTTTCTCCTCATTCACCATGTATGCATTCTCATTCTCGTGTTTCATGATCCGAATTAATCCAGTGATAAACTGCTCTGATGACAGGAGCAATTGAAGCCGTCCCTGCAGGGAGCAAAGGGCACCAAATTGGCACATTTTTGGAGAGTCTTCATCTAGTTGTTCCTCCAAGATACTACTCAGAAGCCTGGGCCTCAGTTTCTGGGGAAGCAACATGATCAGCTTTGTGTGAAAGGAATGGTCTTTGCCTAGGTAACACTGGCTCATGTCAACTAGCATCTGAACACCAACATTACCCTGAATTCGGCTCTTGTAGTGTGGTGCATCGTCAAAGACCAATGTGTTTGATTTGGCCAATCGTCCATCATGACTTGGAAGGTAAAATGTCAAATCTCTGAGATTCTCAAGGTCTTTACGGACCTGTACTGGGTCATTCTGGAGATTTTTGAATAGCCCAGAGACAGTTCTTTTCACTGTTCTCATTTCATTTGGGTCAAGCTGCTTGCCTTCTGAAATTCTATAAATTCGACACAAAACTTCAACATATTGTTTTGTTGAAACAATGTCCTCAGTTCCCAACAGTTTGAACAGTTGGTGAAATGTACCCAGCTCAAGGGGAAGTTTGTACAAGTAGGGTTTGAAGTCAGATTCATTGTCCAAATTAATGACAACCTCCTCTGGTTTAAGGAGTTTCCAACCCTCTTCAACCATGACAAAGGCTACTCCTCGTAACTGACAGCGGAATTCATGTTTTTCTGCATTCAGAAATTCATAAATGCTCCTCAAGACCTTGTTTCGTGTTTTCACTGTGTCATCATCCAAGTTAGTAATGCTACATATGTTTTTGCAATTACTAATCACCTTTTCCAATGGTGGGTCCACATTGACATTTAACAGGCTCAAAATAAGATCAAGTTGCTCTTGGCTGGCAAGTGTGTTTCCTTCCTGGTCTTGTATGCTTGTTGGGGTGGCTCTCTCCGGTAGAATAGGACAAGATGTCCACAACAACTGCATGATATCAGTTTGTTTGAACTTTGGATTTACTTGAGACCCACTGAAGCGAATTAAAGGGATGGTGCCATTCATTTCTTGGTACTGAGCTTGGAGGCGAACAAGCTCGGCTGGTGCACGCTCTGGGCATAGGAATGGTATCATAGAGAGTTCTTTGAGGAATGCCCCATCAAACAGATCTGTTCTCTCATTGAAAATGTGATTTAGGAGAACATCAACAATTGTCTGAACTTTTTCCTGGGACCAGTTCTCTGTATGAGCTTTGATGCTGATCTCTTTTGCAAACTGTAGAACTTGCTGTTGTGATACAACATATTTTAACCCAGTATTGCGTAGGAATGTTATCCATGAGGGCAAATAGGATGTCCCACTTTTTGGCTTTGAGACCTGCTCGATTTTTTTGAAGAAATCATTGGGAATGAAGGCTTTTTGTGGAAGCATTACTTCAAACACTTTAACTGTTTGATCGAAGAAGGCTTTGGTAGGTTTCAGTCTATTGGTGGAGTCATGAATGAAAGACAGACCTTCTAGTTTTTCAAAGAGCTGATCCTTGATGCTGTTTGGCTCCTCCATTGCCAATAACCTCTCCTTCAGATAGATGACATGTTGGATTTTGGCATCATGTGATAAAATGTCAAATTTTGGAATTAAATGATTCAGGTAGACCTCAAGACCATCAATTGGTGTGACCCCAAGAAAGCTGTAGAGTTCTTTCAGCTGTGGACTGTCAGCGAGAAAGGCTGAGGATGTATTATGTGCCCATTTTTCAATGTCGGCAGAGGGAATGCTTTTTGTTAGAACATAGCATGCTCCGAAGTTTGAAATGCAGATGTACCGGCCACTGACAGCTTTGTAACATGGCAACAGTTGAAGACATTGTACATCATCCTGGGTCAGATTAGCCAAATTGCAGTTGAAGTACAACAACAGCGCTTCAAAGTCTTTGTCCGTCAAACTTGCTGTTTTGAAAGCTGATATCTGGATCATGTACTCAAGTGCCCGAAGTATGCTGGAGGGATTGTCTATATTTGCTGTGTGCTGAGCCAATAGAGGCAAGATGGGACTCTCTTTGACGCATGTTTTATTCACAGCAAATTGAAAGCATCCTCCCTTCATCAGGGTGTGAAAAACTTTGTCATTTTGTCCATTTGGAAAGATTGCTGCAAAGATCAAGCTCAGGGGTAACAAAACGTCATGCTCTGGCACAACCAATTTGTTTCCTGACACCATAAATTTGATTCCTGGAAGTAGTGCCCAATCTTTCAATATATCCAGAATGGTCTCAAATTTAGGCTTGATCTCTGTCTGGTCATCCTTGGTCGCAAGTTGTTCACTGATAAAGTGCCATGCACTCTTAAGCCAAGTTTCAGTAGGAAAGTTATCCTTCCATTTTACTGAGTTTCTTGTTCTGCACTCTCTGGGAAGTACAGATCCCAGGAGATCTCCAAAACTGCTTATGTCAAAGGTCTTTGCCACACCTGCTTTTAGAAGGATGTTACTGTACCTTATGTATAGTGTGTGCATGAAAAGCTCTTTCCTTGATGGAATAAGCTCATGATAAGTCGTCAGAAACTTTGGATGTCTGGCGTCAAACACTTGCAGAATGTTGTCCATTGTCAAAAGAAGTGGCAGTCCCTCTATGTTAATATCATTTTCCTCCACATCTTTGAAGCAGTAGTCAACAAGTAGTTTCAGACCATGGAAGAGCTTGAAATTTGACTGCTGCAGTCGACATGGTAGCTTTCCAACTTGGCAGGATGCGTCTGGAGATGAGAATGTCAGAAGAAAGTTGCGAACATCCTCAGGAGTCACATAGTTGACTGGAATCCCAGCATCTTCCAGGCAGAAATACAGACTTGCTGTCTCATCACAGCTGTAGATTAGGTTGAAGCCAACATCTAGGAGCATGGACTTCATTCTAAAAACATTTTCTGCCACAGATTTTCTTGTGGTAATGTTATACTCTGTGTTTTTAAGATGCTGCAACTCATCCTGAAGTAAGTTGTCAAAGAAAGCCCGGCCTTTGTTTGAGGTGGATGTGTTCACC